CTGAGCTAAATCCCCAGCCTCTCTAACAGGTATGAAGTGACACTTCCTGTGGTGTCAGTTTGCACTTCCTTGATGACTAGTGATAAAGTTTTTTCTGTATATTTATTGACCTTTTCCATGTCTTCTTTAGAGAAGTATCCATTCAGATCCTTTGCCAATTTTTCAATTGGGCTTGTGTTAAAATTCCTTGTATATTTTGGATATTAGCTCCTTCTCAAATGTACATTTGTAAATATTGTTTCCCAATCCGAAGAAGGTCTCTTCATTCTATTGTTTGCTCTGCCGTGCTGATTTAGAATTGAAATTAATATGCCAAAGAGATATCTGTACTTGCATGTTCATGGAAGTATTATACATAATAGCCAAGAAAGGAAACAACTTAGGTTTTCAACCTCATGAAAAGAAAGGATGGGGGCTGGGGATTTAGCTCAGCGGCATAAGCGCCTGCCTGGCAAGCGCAAGGTCGTGAGTTCGGTTCCTGGTACCGGTGAAAAAAAACAAAAAAACAAAAACAAAACAAAACGAAAAGAAAGGATGATGAAAATATGGTGTATGCATAAATTACTATTTAATCTTTAATAAAAAGAAGGAAATTCTCTCATTAATAACAATATGGAAGAAACTTAAGGACATTACACTAAGTGAAATAAACTAGACTCAGAAAGACAAATATAGTATGATCTTATGAATATGTGAAATCTTTAAAAAGTAAAACACAGAGAAGCTGAGCGTAGAATGATGTAAGGTGTCGGGAAACGCATGGGGAGTAGGGACATATTGATCAAAAAGGATAACATTTCAGTTAGGAGAAATAAGTTTTAATTACATCACACCAAACAACAACTAAAATAAATAATAATGCATAATAGTTTGCAATTACTAAAAGAGCAAATTTTAAAGGGCATAGTGGTACTATTAAGATCACAACATATCCATTGAACTCATTACATATCACCTTCTATGGGAAAAAATATAGTTCTGTGGGAAACAAATATTTTTACAACCTTGAAACTCTAGAAAACAACAAACAAATAAATAAGCAAAAATATTGCTACTTTATACTATTTCTGTTTTACTGAACACAGAATTTCAAGAATATGCACAGTGATTTTCTTCCCTGGCCAGTGTAGAAGTCTAAGCAGGGGGGAAAGTTCCCTGTGTCAGACAAGTAATGCTGTTCTCCCTTCAGTGGCTTAGCACTTGAAAAGATGAGGGGGAAAAACCCACAGCATTTCAAATTGCTGCAGTGTTTACATGGTAATTATCCCACTGAGTGAAAGACAAGAGAACCGTCTCTTCAGAGCCCTACACTTGAGGACTCATAGTTACCTCTGCACAGAGCTTCCTACCCAGACTTCCCAGTCCCCTTTGGAAGTTATCTCGATTACATCAATTCTACCTCAGAGTGAAGAAACCAGCTTTTCTGAATCCTTGTATAATTTTTCCATGATTGGCACAGTAAGTAATTTACAGTGTGGACATTAGATGCCTTAAGTTAGACTACAAACCATTGTATTTCTACTCTACTTTTGCTGTAACATCCTGAAATGCATTAGTGAGAAAATTGATATAATTTAACAATAATTATCCTCAACTTTTTTTTAATCCATCAGCACCACATTGTTCCTAATCCAATAAACTTTGGAATTAAAATTTCATCCCATATGTTTCTTTGATGCCCACAAAGAGAGAATGAAGTCCCTTGCCCCACCTTGGTTGGTCTCTAGCACTGCATTTTTTGCTTGCTTGCTCTATCTGAACTCTAAGGAATTACCTCACCCTTGAGGACTGCACCCTTAAACCCTTCCCTTTAATCCAGCACCAGAGAGACTAGGATCTTGCCTTCTCTGCTTGGCACTGGATTCTTCTCCCAGTGTTCTGGCCAGATTTCTTCACCTTCATTCCTCCAGCCCAGATCTTCCCTGTGCATCAGCTGGAGCTGAAAGAGCCTAGGACATCTCATTCTAAAATATGCGGTTTGTGCATATTGATTACCTTGAAGCAAAGGCACTTAGAGAACAACGAATGTTGCAGAAGGCTGTCTCTGAGCTCCCATAACTGCCTAGAGACAGGTCCTCCAGAAGAAACCCAACTGTCTCTGGCCTTCTCTTGGGGAGTTTCATCAACCAGGAAAAAGGAACTCCTCATAGGAAAGTACAATGGAAATCCTTAAAAGTCCACGGGAGGAAACTGTACCCAGAAAAATGTCATCACAAATATCACTTATTTTTCTCATTGCCTATTTTTCTTTCCCAAAAGTCATTTCCTCTCCCTTAAACTGAATATATCTCTCCTTCCTCTTTCCTGAGACTAAGGAATACAGGATTCTAAACTTTACAGGGTTTGGGGGTCTTCACACTTTTTTTCTGGGATGTCCTATGCACATAATAAATTGACACATCTTCTCTGTTAACCTGCATATTGTCAGTTTGTTTATATCAAGTCAGGTTTGGAAACCTCAGATGACAAAAGCAAAGTCTTCCCCTTTCTACAAATCAGAAGTTATAAATCAATGCCTCCAAACTTTAGACTGAGAGTATAAAGAACCAGACTGTAAGAAATAAATATTTGTAGGGGCTGGGGATTTAGCTCAGCGGCAAAAGCGCCTGCCTGGCAAGCGCAAGGTCGTGAGTTCGGTTCCCGGTACCGGAGAAAAACCAAAAAAAAAAAAATATTTGTCACTTATAAGCCACTCAGTTATTGAATCATGCTATAACAGCCCAGATAAACTAATTCAAATCTGGGCACACAAAACTATTAGAAACTATGCCCATTCTCCAATGTATGACTTTCTGCCTGTGATGCCAATTAGGCCTGGCTTACAATGTAGAGTTCTCACAGTTGTAAATGCCTTACTTGCAACTAAGAGAGGGAAGGCAGTGTCATAAAGTGGTGTTGGAAAATTAAAGACGACAAGCATTGACAACAGTATCAACACATCACAAAGCAGTCCACCCCAATTAGAGATATTGGCGGTCTTTGTTTCAGAAAATCTATTCAGTTACGTTTTTATAGCAAACAACCTTGCAAGGGGGATGAAGGCACCACTACAGCAACAAGCAAGCACGCTAACTACCTATTATAAAACATTCAGTTCTCCTAGGCTTCCTGTTCCTCGCATAATGCAATCTACTCCTCTATTTGCGTCACTCTGAGAACTGTGACTCAGGAAATCATCCAGGATGTTCATATAATGGCTGTTGGCATTCTTATGACCAATAAAGTCTCCACCCCAGGAATCTATGTCTTCTGCTAGCATACATAAAATCAGCAGACTAATGTGCTGTGTTTCAAAATCTCAGCTTCTTCGTAGGTCTTCACAATCAATATTAGTTTTTAATTCCATTCTAAGTTATAACTACAGTGGTTACTCTAAAATAAACAGCTTAATGTCTTCTTCCACACTGTTTCTCACATTTCTTTGAAAAAATGTTGTGATCTTTTCTCTTTGAAATTACCTTGTCTTATTCTCCACCAAAAGGACTCACCTCTAATGCAGGTGCTTTGTAATTTACAACATAATTTTTTTTTCCTTTTTGAGACAGGATCTTGCTATGCAGTTTGACTTTGTAGCCCAGGCTGGCCTGGAACTCACAGTGACCCTCCTGCCACAGCCTCCCCAGTGCTGGGATAACAGGCATGCACCACCATGCCCAGCTTTGTAACATAATTCTATCTTTGGCAAGGCAAATGACAATTTAGGAGCAAGTATGTGTTTATCAATTCCCAATTCAAATCCTCAGTAGTTCAGTAAGATATTATTTTTATAGGCTTTTCCTTCTGAAAAAAAAACAAGTATACCATATCTCAATCTTTTACACACAATATGAAAGACCAAGCACCAACCTCTGTCTAGTCAAACTGTAAATGCACAAATAAACTCTACAAGTTTAAATCAAAATGTCAAATAACTTCCACACATGATCATGTACACTCAGAATGCCTAAATATTATCACTTAAATATTAGAAGTTTCCTTCACAGTTCTAATTAAAAAAAAAAAAACTCATATTCATTAGGTAGACTTTGTCTGAAGCAGTGATTCCACTGGTATTTTCACTGTGTTAAGGCATTTTTTTATGGCCTCCAGTAATATCCTCTAATTTTCTGAAGGATCTCCTTTCTATTTTAGTAAGCCAAAGACAATTAAGATAAAAATTCCAAAAGGGTAAAGCAAAATAGGAAAAGCTACAAAAATCTGATTTGATTTCCCTACACTTTACCCCTCCCTGTTACCAAGCGGCTAATCCCCTCTCAAACAGTACAATAGAACAGCTAGACATAAAGAAAAGGAGATAAAATTGGTCAGCCAAGACATTGTTCTTGCTAATCTGAACCATTTACATAAGGGTTAGAAGGCTTGTTTTATCATTTAAAGAGACTTAAAGTCTCTTTGCAAATCAGATTTAGTTCCCACAAAAGAATGAATTCAAGCTATTTGATGAATTTCTGCTAGACCAGCAGTGGGAACTGATTTGGCAGTAACTAGAAGCTACTTCTTTGGCCACATATACTATATGCAAAGATTGCTTCCAGCTGCCAAAACTGAAAAGCATCAAGCTGATTAAATTCTTTCCAGGAGGTGAACAGGATGAGGGGCATGTTAAAAGGCCAATAATATCAGATCTTAAACTGTACCTGGGCAAACTCTTCATTATGCAGATGCTTAAAAGTGTCTTTGAACATTCAGAGCCCTTTGAATCTTCTTTTGAAAGGGAAAAGAAGGGCAGACAGCAAATGAAATTCAGAGAAAGAAAAGACTTAAAATAGTGTCACGCTGTGAAGTGAAGACAATCTAACGTCTTTGATTCATTGTTGCTCTGAGCGGTGTTGAGTACAAGGATAAAGTACATAACTACCTCCCTTACCAATGTTAGCACAAAATAATAATTAGAAGGGAAAGATTTCCCTAACGGAGAGTAGTATACTATTTGCATCAAAATCTTAGATAAAAAAAGTCAAGACCATGTTTATGGATAGTATATCTATTATGTGTTTTACCTGGCACACCTTGAACAGATATTCAGTGTGACCTTGGCCTGAGGCTCAGTAGGATGAGCAGGACGGCCTGGGTTGAATTTGCTCCCGGAAGGTACCAGGGTAGTTACTCCCTCCATTCTTAAATCATCAAGATCTTCTGCAACAAGACAAAGAATCAGAGAAAAAAATTAAGTCTAGAAAATTAAAGAAGGACATAGGTTTTCAGTAGTTTGTTAGGCAAAACATAATCTCCTTTCTTTAAAAATATAACCTCATATCTGAATTACTTTTTCAAATCATTTTGAGATGTAGTTGGAAAGAAATTACATGAGATTTATAGGAGAACATATATGAAAACAGAACACGGGTCCATAACCTGCTATAAGAAATTAGCCCAAAATGATCAGGCCTTGACCCATGAGTCCCAGCTTCCATGTTCTACGCTTTTCTTCCAGCTAAAAACCAACCAGAAAAAGCCAAATATTCTCTAAAGGCAATGGTATAAATCTTCCACTTCTACTTAGCCTGCTTCCAGCTCGCCTATCCAGAACTCTCCAATCAGAATATACCTGAAACCATAACTGGATACTTGTTTGGGAGTTGTCCTTAGCAGATTTACTTTTGCTTCTCTTTCTTTTGTTCATTTACAATGCCCCCTCCATCCCTTCTGCAAGAATTATGTCTCTTCTTTTTCACCTTGGCATTTTAAATTCTAAAGAAAAGCAGGGTCTAAATAATTAGGATGTTAATTGCTAAATAATGTTCTTTATGTGTTTAGAACCCAGGAAATCAGGTGATCTTCAGAACCTCGTCTTTAGTGCTGTGTACATAAGTTGACATGAGGTTCATCTTGCAGAACAGTAACTTCTGTTTGAAGAGAGCACAGGAACTAGCGTCGTGAGGGTGGCCAGGAATAAAGGAGACGTATGCCTTGGATGGCGAATTTCTCACTCAGCATTCTACCTTTCTGCCAGTTGCCTCTCTGCACCTATTTCCCCCTCCGTGGCATCCTCGAGTTCTTGAAGATAGAGTCCAAGGACAGAAGTCTCCTCTCCATCTTTCATGGTGTCAGCCCTTACATAAACCTGATTTCCTACTCGCAACCCTCATCTCCCAAATATTGGCTTTCCAGTGGCCGGCAGCGTGGCTATACACTGCGCAACAAAACCCTCTGTATTGCACTGTTATAGTTCTAAATTTCCTGGTGATTCAGTTCTGATACCAGAGCTACATAACCTACTTTTTCATGTGAGGAACATAAAAGCTAGTAAAAGTACTCCATCCATTTACTTGCTAATATATATATATATATATTTCAAAAGATAAATTGTGATTTTGCTAAATACAATTCATTATTAATAGCAATGGCATAATCTGCGCAAGTAATAAATCATTCTCTTTTGATAAGGTAAAAGTTGCAATGGGCGCTAGATGTCCCACAAAACTATGGAAAAAGATCCTAGGTTTGACTGGATATTACAAATAAGGAGTGTCACATTTTCCTTAGACAATGACAGCTCTTAGTCTAAAATATGAATGGTTCCATTATCTGAAGAAAGCTGGTCAAGAGATTCTTCCCATATGCAACCTTGAATAAAAGTCATTTTGTCTATTTGTGCATAAGCAATCTGGAGGAGCCCTTAGAGTTTTAACTCAGCTTCATGAGAGGCATCAAACACTCATTGTCTTGACCTGGTTGCAAAGACTTAACCAAGTCCCTTGCGTTAGTAGCACAGCTGCCACTTCGTGACCCTTTGTTTTCCTGAATTAGTTATTGGCTTTTTTCTTGATCTGATGGTTCCTGGGGAACACACATACTATTACTGCCTGAGACATACAACAATTTCTATGTAGCAATTAACCATTCACAAGATTCTGTTAGTCTCTTATTTCTATTTACTACTGTAAATCCTGATTATTTGCCACTCTGCTGCTTCTACCAGGAAAATGGAACTGTAACCAATCATGAGGGTTCTTTTTGTCCAATTCAGAAGGAAATCGTTCATCTCCAAAATGCTACTCCTTTGAGATTGGTGGTCCTGACTTTGAGTGTCAGTGATTCTAAGCCCTTGGTGCCACAGTTCTGAGACTTAAGTGCTAATACCTCAGAGCTCTTAGTGCTACTGCTCTTGGAATTGTAGTTCTTGGTGTTATAGCCCCTGGTAGCTTCTGGCCACCACTATTAGAACAGGGACAGGCCTAAGACTGAGTCAGCTGAATGCACAGAGAATGTCACACATACTCAATTAAGAGATAGTTCAAGCCATGCAACTAGGTAAGCTTAAAAATGCAAAGTTAAATAACCTAAGAAGAGTAGAAGTTAAAATAAGAAAGGAGATAAAGACCTAAACCTAAACAAATAAAATACAAGTAACTGGTTTTCTTTCCTTTGAAGTTGGCTTCCTTCAAACCCTAAAACCTACATCTGTACCTGCTGAAAACAAGTCCCTACACTGCTTATTTCTAGAAGGCTCAGACAAAGAGAGCACATTGTTAATCTTAGTTCCGGAATCCCCTTACCGTGGACAGCCAGCAAGAGATTTTACCTTCTTAATAATTTAGTAAGCACTCTCCTAAATTCATCCTTTTGTCTCTGATTTTTATTCCTCAACTTTGTGAGACAAAAGCTTTGGGTTTGTACAAAATGAACTGTTTCGCTCTTAGCTCCACCCACAGCAGAAGCTTATAGGTTCCTCTGAGGTTTCAGGAACCCCACAGGCAACATTTACAGCCTCTCTGGGGCACAGTGCTGCTGCTGACCTCAGATCTCAGCTTTTATCTCATCTGTCTTCACCAGCGGCCTCAGATGTCAGACCTCGGGCTTCTGCCCATCTCCAGTAGCAGCTTTGGGCTTCCGGCTTCCCCTCAGCTTGTCTTCTGCCCTAACCTTTGCTAGAGGCCTGGGCTGCCTCTGTCCCTGGCTTCCATCCTCTTCACCCAGGGCCCTGTCTGGGCTGGTGGCACATGCCTCCAGGTCTTCACTCTCCATGCTGCTGTAGCTGTGGCATCCCAACTCTTAAGGGTTAGCAGCCCCTGCTGGTGTCAGTTCCTTGTGATGCAGGCTGCTCAGCCCACCCTGCCTGACAAACAATCACGGAGGTGAGTAGGAGCACTCAAGTGAGACCTCTGCTAGGACCTATCTGTGGCACAGGCCGCATGCTGTGAGCACTGCCTATTTGGATGACGAGCAGACCATGCAAGTGCAGTTTCTCACATTTTGTGGACCTAATTGAGGACTTGAAAAAGTGTCAGGGAGGAGGAGCCATCCAAAGCAGCCATAATGTAGAGCCGGCTGGGATACGCCTGTTTGCAAGGCTGTTGCAGCCAGAGCCCATATCTTCTGCAACAGATACAGGACACCTATGAGTACCTCAGTTGTCATGATAAAAGCTGGGCAGGCAGTTCCTGGGCTCCTGTGCAATTGGTGGGACCACAGACCACGGCTGCTGTGACTATTTTGGCATCTCCAAGAGCAACTGTTGTTAATCATGGACCCCTGCAGTTAAAAGGACCCTGGAGAATATCAGCGATGGGCTTGGGTGCCTACTAAATCTTTGTCATTAGGTACAATTCTTTTTGTCGCTTACCAGCAGCAGTGCCTGAGGCAGAAAAAGAGCATGACAGCCACAAGTCTGGTCATGGGCCCTTATGGCATTGGCGGGGGAGATTGGGAGGAGGTTGGGCCTCCTTTCTACCTCGAAAACTTCATCGTGTTTTTAAAATCTCAGTTAAAGAATTTTCTGAACTTCACTCGGCCTTTTTTGTTGTTTATTTTTAAGAATTGCTATGGAAAATCTTGACCTAGTTATTATTTGGTGACAGACCATTTAAACTTTAAACTGGAGACCAATAAATAGGCTATGTTAACTGTTGGGTCTCAGGAAATGATACTACCCGTGTGCGGTATCTGTCATGCTGAGATAGAGACGTCTCAGGGTTAAGGTCCCTCTGGCCTGCCCCACTCCTTGTCTGTTGATGAACTTTTATTCTGTTTTGTTTGGAAACACAAGGAGGGGCTTTCTTTAAAGTTCCCATATCTAAACAAAAGATAGCTCATTCCCGGAAGGAATGCAATTGGGAAATCTCATTAACTGAGAAATTTAACCATAGAAAAGAAACTGAAAGTCAAACACCACACCTGGAGGCCAGAAAGATTTAGTCTCAGGACATTGCCTATTCCTTGAGTCCATTCAACTTCTAAAAATATCAGGTCCGACCCCTCAATACTGCTTCCATCCTTCCATCTCCCTTTTGCATATGAAGAAGGATTTATAAACTTCCAAAACTCAGGGAATTATTGGGTAATCACCTCATGTGCTACTCCTCTGTGGAGGACCACTGGGCAACTCTTCTTAAAGGAGGAGCAGTTGTCTCCATTTTTGCTGAGCCTGACCCTATTTCCATGTATTAACATGTAAAGAGCTGGCTAGGACTTTTCCTTCTCTCTTCAACTGGCTTTAAGCAATGTAGACTGGTCTAGCTGAGGTGTGATGGTAGTCTTTAAAGATGGCAGGCAGTGTTTCCCCGGACCTCTATTGCTCCCATGCTCCACTCTGTTGGCTGGGATCAGCCTCGAGATAGAGGCTATGACATCCTGCGGCTTGAATGATTACACATCAGAGCTGAAGCACCGACCCCAAAACATTAGATACTACCTCAACGGTGTGATGCAGATTACTCTTTCTGCAGATCCTTCTCTCTGCTTATTGGAGAGGTGATTTCAGGCCTCCTCGCTAGCCCAGCTCATGGCACTCACCTACTTCCTGCTATTCTCACAGTCACTCTTCCTCAAGCCACTCCTTTCTTCATGAATTAATGAAACCAGGTTTGGCCCTGGGTCGAGGCCTTTATTCTGGATAGCCATCACTGTGGCTGGACTTAGGACCCCTTCGCTCCCCACAACTACAGATATGCTTTAGTGTCTTTATTCTCGCCATGGGTTGCACTGGAAGTTGTAGATTGGAATTAACTCTACAATTCCAATAACTTTTCCATGAGATTACAAATATAAAGTTCCTGGGGTGCAGTGATGATCGGGAAGGGCTCCCTATGCTCTTACACGCATTAATAAACTTGTATGCCTTTTACCCCTGTGAGTATTTCTATTGTCCGTTTATTTCAGAGACCCATCAAAAGTAGTGACAAAGAGAATTTCCC